ATTAGGGCGAAGATGGTAATTACGGTAATTGGAGCAATTAACGGCAATTGGGGTAATTATGGTAATTAGGTCAAAGATGGTAATTAGGGTATTTATGGTAAATGGGGCAATTATGGTAATTAGGGCGAAGATGGTAATTATGGTAATTGGAGCAATTAATGGCAATTGGGGTAATTACGATAAATGGGGTAATTATGGTAATTAGGCCGAAGATGATAATTATGGTAATTGGAACAATTCACGGCAATTGGGGTAATTAGGGTAAATGGGGTAATTATGGTAATTAGGCCGAAGATGATAATTATGGTAATTGGAGCAATTAATGGCAACTGGGGTAATTACAGTAATTAGGGTGATCATGGTAATTAGGCTGAAGATGGCGATTGGGTAATTACGGTAAATGGGGTAATTACGGTAACTGGGGTGATTATGTTAATTAGGCTAGAGATGGTAATTACAGTAATTGGGGTAATTATGTTAATTAGAGTAAGTAGGGTAATTGGGTAATTACGGTAAATTGAATAATTGGGGTAAATACGGTAATTAGGCTATAAATGTGGTAATTACATCGATTGGGGTAATTAAGGTGATTATGGTAATGAGGCTAAGTATGGCAAATTGAATAATTGGGGCAATTCTGGTAACTGGAGTAATTACGGTAATTGGAGTAATTATTGTAATTAACTTGATTATGGTAATTTGCTGGGTTATGGTAATTAGGTTAGATATGGTAACTACAATACTTATTTAATTATAGTAAATTAAATCATTTGACTTATTAGAGTAATGGAGATAATTATGGCAACTGTCATTATGGCAATTACGATCTACTGTAATCTATTATTATAATTACTGCAACACTGTTAACGACACAAAGTTAATTAAGCACAACTAATCAACTTTCGGGCTAATTTCGAACAACATTCGTGCTAATAATCATCATTTTCACAAACATTAGCGCTAATTAACGGCAGTTAATCCCAGATACTGGTTGATGGGGGGGAGCTGGGAGGCAATGAATATTAATTAGCGCTAATTAGCGTTAATTACCTGGGTGTCCAGGAAGAGCACGCGCTCCTGGGTGACGAAGAGGTCGATGCCGCCGGTCTGGGCCCCGCCGCGCTCGCGGAGCTCCGGCGGCTGCGGCCGGAACACGAACGAGCTGCGGGACCAGT